GGGGGGGGGGAGGAGGAGGAAAGCCACCCACCTCCACACCACTATGTTCCCCAGCACAGTGGTAGCAGATAAATTTAGGATAATCCCCCACTATTTGGATTCCAGATATGGACAGTTATAAACTTATTTCTAAATCTATACTTAAATATTTTCCCATGTCTAGGGGCATCTTAAAAATTCAAGATCATCTTGAATACAATGTATGTTTGCTCCCAATAAAACTAAAGCAGAAACGAGTCCACCAAAATGCAAGTACCATTCTCCCACTCCCAACAATCAATAAGAAAGTGTGTCCACTTCAGGTCCTGGTCCCCCCCCAAAAGTTGAAGTTATTTATTTAAACAGAAGTAAAAAACAACAACAACAAACCCAGGTATAGAAAGAAAACATTCAGAATACTATTGATCTCTTAGCTGATCATTACTGATTCACTCGATCATACATAGAACCGAAAGTATGAGAACATAAAACAAAGCTTTACTACTGACACAATGTTTGATTATGTGGGATATTTTTATATACACCTAATACCAAGTATCTGACAACAATAAAGGAGGATAGACTTGGTCTGATGTCTTGTATGCGAACTGCTGGACAGCTTAGATAGCTACAAAGCCAGTTAAACAGCTCTTTAAATACCATTTTTTGTGTAGGGGGAAGATTCCTTGCGTAAACAGGAACTGTGGAATTTGAAACAAAAGTGACTTACAAAAATTCAAAAAGATACCAAACCATACTCTAAATAAATAGTTCCATCTTGATGAATATATACAGAACATCCATTATGTTAGTTATCCAAAAATGGCATATCTGTGTCCATTGGTGCTGGAGCAAGTTCACATAAATAAAACAGTGTGGCTTCACTTGCTTCTGCCTCTGTCAGGGGTTCCAGCCTTACTAATTTGCTTTGAGTTGGTTCAGGGTCCAGACTGCTCTCCAGAAGCTCGTCCACTTCTTTATCAACAGAAGACATGGATTCAGCTGCAGAGGTCCCACTTTCAACAGCTGAGCCTGGATTCCCATCAAAGAATGCAAGAAGTGGGAAGGCTGTATACTGAATGAGCTGTTTATCTACAAGGGAAAGAAAAGCAATACACAGGAGTGTCACTAGGTGTCTCTTAGTCCTAACTGCCACGTTTTTAATTTACCCTACATTAGCAACAAACCATGATAATTATTTTTATACTGAAGTCTGATTTTTAAAAACCATTGCACATACAGCTGAGGAGTACCATGAGGTGAATCAAAATTCTCTGTTCGGACTTGTCTGAAAGAGCACCTTCAGTTTGTCCTCGCACCTGGTGCAACACAAGATTCTCAAGAGCAAATAGCAGATTAGTAATGTTCCGGTTATTTTTTGTCAGCATGAAACATATCAGGCAGACAGCTCATAACTAAAGTAATTGCAACACCAGATTAGAAGCATCTTTTGGTTCAAGTTTCAGTTGAACTTCAAAACTTTTCTTGCAAAACATCTACCATAGATTGTACCAACCTGATTTGGGCTTAGAACTTTGTGCATCTTGTGAAGCAGGTGGTGCTCCATTGCTCTTCGTAGTTTCTATTCCCTTGGTCTCCAACTGAAAAAAGAAAGTCAAAACATACACCTGAGACGATTTTTAAAATGAACTGCTGTCTAGATGCAAGTAACAAAAAAAGTAGAAAATGACAAGCTACCTGATTAATCTTTACAATAAACCACGTCAGGGGTTTTCAACCTTTTCTAAAGGAGCGTACCCCTTCTGGGTACACGGTGCGGGGGGGTGGGTGTCAGTCAGCACTCCATCCCCGCCTGCCCACTCATATCCCCTAACCTGTTTCCAAGTACCCCCGGGGGTATGCATACTCCTGGTTGACAACCCCTGACCCATGTGAAAGTTGTGGTATACTTATTACATGATTAATAGATCCTAGTCTTGAAAACAAAATGGTAATAGTTACGTGTTCCAGAACAGAAGCAAGTTTGGGATTATCTAACCACGTGGGAAACAATCAAGCTGTCTTGACTCTTATTCCCTCAGTTCCACTTCCAATTCTAGCCTCACTTTTTCCATATATTATTCCTATTACCCCTCTGTATTTTTAGCTCTTCCAAATGGTGCTATATAGTTACTAATTTTAAGAGTGTATCACACCCCCGTTCAGATCAGTCACTTTCCCCTTAACTTTTGCCACTTTTTGCCTTTCCTCCTAGTCAGCAGGACAGGAATAACGTCAACTGCTACCTTCCTACCCATGTAAGGAGAAGTATTGTTCAAATGCAAAAAAATTTAAAAGTAAGAGAACAGTTCTAGGACAGGTGGTCCATAAACTCAAATTGTGTTTCTCACAACTGTGCGTTTTGGACAATACCAATTGAAAACTTACTTTAGCATTACTGATATGATCTGTGGGATTCATCTGCACGGAGCTTGTAAAAAGCTGAACAAGACAAAACACATCAAAGTTTTTAAAATTCTGCACTTTGGTATGCATGAACAGTGTAAGCATGTGCCACTAGGGGGCAAAACCTGTAGTATAATTATGATAATGCCCCTAGGCCCCTTACAGATTGAGACCACCTTTTAGAAATCTGCTATAGTACCAATTCGTTAAAATATATATATATATATATATTGAGAAAAGATCTGTGGAGAAGAGCTGGCTGTTGCATTTTGTGACTTCAGGGCACAGTAACACACTTTTTCAGGTTTACGTGGCAGTGTCTGTACATGCCCGGCTCAGAATGGTCACATTAGTCAATTCCAGAAATGCCAAACTCATACCATTTAACCGCCATGTAGTTGGTCAGTTAATTTTAAGGGAAATAAAGATAAGAAAGGACCTAGGAGAATAAAAGCGTTGGGACTGGAAACTGTGGTACAACCTTTTACAAATACCACACAGAATCCTGTTAGCTCCTAACTTAAATTTTTCAGTTGAAAATGTTAACTAATACAAACTATTAACAGTTGTACTTCTGGATCACCTCCCTCTATTTGCATGCAGTTTCACCAGGACACGTATTCTCACTACTAGCAGATTTTTAGATACCAGCCTTAAACCTAAGATTTCCATCTCCCCGCCCCCTTATTCCATTCTTCTTCTCTAAGTGTGCTGTTTCTGGCACAAGCTGGAATTACGGGAAAGAAGTTCTCCATTCAAACATCCGCAAACCTCACAATGCACTGGATCCCTGAGCCTAGGACCTAGACCTAGACAGTCTGAGGCTCTCACAACCTCTCTCCTTCCCGAGTAGATGCAAATACACATACTGGACCATCTACTCCACAGATGAAGAGCAAGAGCTAAATGCTGATCTCTGGTTCCTTTGTCTACTTTTGTCCAAGATGATGGAGGTAAAATGATGATACTAATGAATGCAACACTTCTTCCACGTAGCATAAATAATTGCAGCATTTTGAGCATGCTCTTCAAGCAGTGTAGTACTTACTGTTTAAAGTTCAAGCAAAACAATATCACAGAAAATATATTTTTTTCATGCAAATATCCTTAATTATCTTGATCACTACACAAAATAAAGATTAGAGGGGGACATAAAAGATACATACATCAACCAGAAGATCTGGATCTATGCTGAACTGTCGTCCTGACAGCATGGCTTGGAAGTCTTCTAAACTGCAGTCAATACTGTCAAGATAATCCAAGAGTTCAACTCTAGAAGACAGAAACCCCCCAAAACACAACATACATTTATGCTTTGAAATGCAGCACTGAATCTACTAATGTAAGATAAATATCAAATGAGATGTACCTACAAAAGTTTTCTACAGTGATTTTTGAACTTCAGCTGCTTGGACCAGGCATATATGAACTCTACCATGACTGTTTGTAACAAATACACTGGCCTTGCTTTCCACCCAGAGAGGGTTATCAATTTGTACACGATATTCACTATTTATTTTAAACACACTCACAATGCTGCCGCTGTATCCACAATTAAGAGCAGAAGGACTTTTTTTTTTTTTTTTTTTTTTTTTTTTTTTTTTTTTTTTTATTTCCAAGTATAATTTGAAAAGTTTTAGAACTGAAAACAAGTATTGATTTTGTAGTTTATGCTATAAAAATATTGTAGGTTTTGTGGGATAAACATAATCAAATTGTTCCATGCAGGGATGAAAAATTAAGCCTACAAAATAGTTCAGAAGACAAAATAATTTTTGGTTTGCTCAAAATTAAATGGATAACACAAGTTGTTCTTTTGCTATGCAACACAAAGGATACTGTAGGGTCTGTCATATTTATTATTAAACAGCAATGATAATAGCAAAGGTTTGAGAGAAAGGGGAGCTCATTTGCAGCAGGAGGGAAAAAAAAAAATCCAGCCTTAAAAGTAATGTGAGAAATGTAGTAGGTAAAAAGAAATGAAGGGAAACACAGGCAAGTTGTACCCCTATTTGCTACATTATGGTGTATAAGGCAGGTCTGAAAGAATAAACACACACGTGAAATACACCTTAAAAGATTCATCCAAGTTGGAAGGCAATGACCACTAGAGTCATACAATGAAATAAAAAATTTCAATACAGCATTTCAGAAAGGAATTGTATCTCTAATAGTAAGAAGAAATGTAACAAAGGCTAACTGTTACCCTTTGGATGAGAGAAACCTATTAAAGTTACACATGGAGGTAAAGAAAGAGGTAACAAAGAAAACCTAGGTAAGACAAACTAGGCCTTTTGATATTTCTACACAGGTTTCAGATTTTTTTTTTTTTTATACTGAATTACAGAAAAATGACCGCAAACCTAATTTTAAAAGACTCTTTGCCAAATATCTTTAAGCATCATTCAGTGAAAATAATTAGAAGCAACCATGTGGCAAAAATGAAGTTAACACTTAGTATTTCTTTAAGAGGAAACTACTTACTTTCCAAGAAGGTTGATATTCTGTGAAATTACTCCATTCTCACTGAGAATGGAATCCATCATTGACACTGGGTCTTCTGCAGTTAGAGTTGACTGGTTATTCAGCTGGACAGCACTTGACATGAGTGGGTTTGTACTGTCACTGACAGGACTAAGAGGATCGTTGACTGGGATAGTGACTGGTTCTGTATTTTTATCTCCTTGAATTACAGGGGCATAATCGTCCTCATTATCATCTTCTACTATTACAATATCAGGAGAATGACTACAGCTGTAACACATAAGAGAAAAAAGTTACAGAAATAAAAGTGGCTACAGAACACTGGATTGCTAAAGGGTTAGACAGTATTATTCTGAAGACGTTGCTAGCAGCTGTCTAGATAACCGAGTATGAACTTTGTAAGTAGTTCAGGACTGGTACCAAAATAAATGTCCGTTTGTATCAAATACCTGAAGTTGTAAGGTACAGATTTAAGCAGCAAACTTTTAATAAACTTAATGCACTAAAATATCAAGAGTGGTATCACAGTACATTTTGTAAGCAATAGGAGATTTTCAGAACTACACATTCACGTGCAGCTCTGAGGGAAAGAGTTTTAAGTACATGCAGGGCATTTTCCTGGGGTTAATTACATTGCAATAGTTCTTTTAGAACTCTTAATTCTTATGAACTGGAGTTAGACTGATTATATCAGTCTAGACCAGTGGTGCCTGATATTTTCTAGCCATGGCCTGATCTCTCCCTGCAGGGCCTAGCCAGCTGTGCAAAGCTTAGAAATTTGGAGGCCTGGAAGCCGTGGCAGTGTTAATTGCCATCGCTTCCCCACTGGCAAACTTCTGGAGCCATGGGGAGACCCACGGCCAGATTACATGGCTCTAGACAAACCAACTTTACATCTGACTGTCTACCAACAGTATCAACTTCTGCAAGGTTGTTGCTGTTTTACTTGACCATTAACCACAAGTAAAACTCCAGTGGTGACTATAAAGGGAAATAGACACTAAATAGCAAAACTGAACATGGCAAAAGATAAAGCTTTGTCAGGGCTGACAAGCTAAATTCACCTCATCAGGCAGAAGCATGCAGCCTTCATTAAGGTGAAGAACAGCATGAAGAAGATATTTGGTCCTGATGCCTTTTTAAAAACAAAAACACCCCCCCCGCTGAAAGTTACCACTCAGCTTAACTCCTTTATTAAGATTTGTGTTTAGGATTGTATTCATAAACATCCATTTGCCAAATATCAACTCAGTAGTTCCAATGTCAACTAATAAAACTGGATTTTAAATAAAAGTTTCATCTGATGGTAGCTGAAAAAGCACACCATAGATTCAGAAAAACAAATTTACATAGCACAAAATAAGTAAAATGGAAATATGTACAGACAGCATTCAGACCACAGAACTGACAAAATGGATCAGTGTTGGTGACTACCATCAAAAACATTTGACTGGAATAACCAACTCAGAGGACATTATTTATACATGATAGACATAAGTCAGCTATCATATACTAAAGGATAAAAACCTTAAAAGCTGAAGTAACTTAATCTTACTTTTAAAAGCCAAGACAAACTGAGAAAGTGTGCAGATGGTATCTTTATAAAAGCTAAAGCTTTCAGTATTATTTTGTTTTTGCTGAACTAGCCACAGTAAAAAAGCAACTGCCCTTTATCTTCTAATACAAGTGCACAGATCTGGAGGCCAGATACTTGCATAGTAAATGGTTATTGAAAGATAACCATGTACATGAATTGATATAGCTGCACTTTCCATTTCAGTCAAGGAAGCAGTCTGAATTATACAGGTTATCTGAACCGTATTATAGGAGCTTAAATCTGAAAATACGTTATCTATATTGTACAATAGCAAGTTCCATCTGTACTCTAATTTATACAGATTTCTTACTTGGAAGAGTCAGAAGTGGCATCTTCGTTTGATTCAGGAGTAATTGGAGCATTTTCTTCATCACCCATGGCATTTTCTTCATCACCAATGTCCTCAGTGACATCATAAATAATTATGTCATCTGAAATCTGTTCCCTTTGTTTTAAGCCCTCAGTTCTGTTGAGTGGTACCTGAGAATTATAAACACAAATATCTAAAGGAAAACAATCTAATGAGAAACCAGACCAAAATACTTCAGGAGTCCTAAAATGAATATGTAATTTAGAAAGAAAACCACTCAAAATTCCAGAAAAACCCTTTGGAACATAATACATTTCAAGGCTTTTTAAAATTCACACTTAAGTTTGGTAAAACTTGTTTTCAGACAAAAAATAACTTAAGGAGCTTACACCTCTAATTTTGTAGAGACTGCCTTTGTAACATTCCAAATTATTGGAATATAGGTATTAGAACACTGAAGGATCAAATTAAATAAAAATAAAACTTGGTTAGACAGTACGTTACCAGAAGGAAAACATTGTCAGTGTTACGGGTTTAACGTGAAAGCAAAAAAATGTATAATGCATGTTTTAACAGAAGTGGGAGCACTAATCCTACTCTACCATTATGAAGCTGTTCAAAAAGAACATTACTGCGTCCTTCTTGCAGCTTTCACCGGAAGTTCCTTGATTTGCCTGAGTGAACAATTACCTTTCCCCAGTAGCATCTCTCCTGCTCCAGCTTTACCTGGGCAGTAAAGCCAATTGCAGCCACTCTCAAGTCACTCTGTTCACCAATTCTACTACAGTAAAAGCACTTTACCATCTGGAAAGCTCCATTAATTGGCATCTGTCATAGACAGCATCTGTTGTTTATGGCAGTGGATTGATGTGGCAAAAGCAAAACCAGAAGTCTCAGTGTGGCACTTCCGGTTTTGCTGAGTCCCACCTCTTTCTCAAGGACCATGGTCCAGGGCAAAGCAGCCTGTGTGGGGCCCCCACCCTGTCCCCCTGGCACACTGATGCCAGGGAGTGAAAGCCCTGGCACACCGAACGTGGCAGGAGGCATGGTGGCCTGAACAGGCAAAGATGCCTCCAACCTGCTGGAGAACCGGCACATTTCATAGTTTCATAGTTTCTAGGGTCGGAAGGGACCTGGGCAGATCATCTAGTCCGACCCCCTGCCATGGCAGGAAAGAGTACTGGGGTCAAATGACCCCAGTGAGGTGGTCATCCAACCTCCTCTTAAAAAGCCCCAGGGTGGGAGCCTGCACCACCTCACATGGAAGCTGGTTCCAGACTCTAGCCGCCCTGACCGTGAAGTAGCGCCTCCTGATGTCCAACTTAAACCTTCCCTCCGCCAGCTTGTGACCATTGTTCCTGGTCACTCCTTGCGGCGCTCGGGGGAACAGGGACTCCCCTAGCGCCTGCTGATCCCCCCAAACCAGTTTATAACAGGCCACAAGATCCCCCCTCAGCCTTCTCTTTTGAAGGCTGAACAGGTTCAGGTCCCGCAACCTTTCCTCATAGGACCTACCCTGCTGTCCCTTGATCATACGAGTGGCCCTCCTCTGGACCCTCTCGATGCTGTCCACATCCCTCTTAAAGTGCGGCGCCCAGAACTGGACGCAGTACTCCAGCTGCGGCCTGACCAGTGCCGCATAGAGGGGGAGGATCACCTCCTTGGACCTGCTCGAGATGCATCTGTGGATGCACGACAAGGTGCAGTTGGCCTTCCTAGCCGCCTCCCCACATTGCCGACTCATGTTCATCTTGGAGTCAATAATGACTCCCAGATCCTTTTCCACCTCCGTGCTGACAAGAGGGGAGTTCCCCAGCCTGTATGTATGGTGCCGATTGTTCCTCCCCAGGTGCATCACCTTACACTTGTCCGTGTTAAACCCCATCCTGTTCTCCTCCGCCCATCCTTGTAACCTATCTAGGTCCAACTGTAGCCTGATGCTCCCCTCTATTGTGCCCACATCCCCCCACATCTTAGTGTCATCAGCAAACTTGAACAGGGTGCTTTGCACCCCCTCGTCCAAATCACTGATGAAGATATTGATTAACTGGCATCCCCCATGGATGTCGGATAACAGAGCTTTTACTGTACTTCTGTCTACCCTTCTCTCCTTCCCTCCAGCTGGCACATGCTCAAATAAAATACTTTAAAATAAACTTACGTGATGGGCATCGTCAGCTGGTTCTTTAACAATCTGCTGAAACAGGTTTGACTTTGGAGCTCCATTGGTATTCAAAAGTAGTGGCCTAAACCAGAGAAACCAGAGTTGTGTGAAAATGCCTAAACCATGAAGAATGTTTCTAAAAGCAAGAGACAGGCCAGCAAAAAAAGGAAACTCAGCTAGCTAGTAACAGAGGACTATTATTTCCAATACTGTACTTACCTCTTTCGCTTTAGACTCACTAACTGGTTATTCTGCACCAGAGTGACAATAAACTGTACAATCTACAAAAAACAAAACAAAACAGGAATATTATTATGACTAGTTGTTTCAGATTAGTGGGTAGCCAGCATGTTTAACTTTGCAACTCCTACTAATACTTCAGACAGTAGGAATTATCAGCTGTATATGGCAACAGTAGCCAACTTCTTCTAGCTGCAAGCCAGAATGACCTACCTTGGGTCAGAAGAGGGCAGCACAAGTACCTGCAGCCAAATACTGCCGAGCCCTACATTCATAGGCTGGATCTGACACCTCAGATGTAGTATTGATCAGATACAGTTTGCCTAGCATCTTTATACAAAGTCATCAAAGGAAAACAGGGCAAAGAGAATTAAGATATTCCCAGATAATGTTTGTAAAGACTGGAAGGAAGAAGACAGGCCTTTTCAGATGGGAAATGCTAAAGAAAGAAAGCTTTTTGAACCAAACCATTCTGTGTATACCGAAGAACTGTGATTTGGTTAAGTCCTAGAAAGAAAAGTATTCTAATGAATAAGCTGCTAGAAAATATAATTGTATGAAAATTTACTAAAAACATATGCACTTATGCAGCTGGTGAAAAGTAAGATACGCTGATGTAGAAATCAAGTCAGGGAGTATATGATGTGCTGACAGAGGACAGTGGTACATGAAGGACATGTAACTGAACTCTATAAGTCTTATTACAAGTTTTTAAAAATACCAATTGTTAAATAAGGGGTGTAACTTGGTAAATCAATTATAATTGTTAAATCAAGCATTTACAACTCTAATTTGCTCAAACTATGTATATGAAACTACTCTGCTACTTCAGTACTAGCCTTTATTACACAGATTGCAGAACAGCAATGCAGTAAGCAAACAGGAATGTAAATAGTCCATAAAGTAATTTTTACCTGTGGCCTAAACAAAATATAAAGCTAGGGTGGTGCTACATTAGTAACGTAATTCCAGTGAACCACCTAAGATCCCACAAGATATTCTATCAAGTAATGCTAAACTGTTTTATCTTGCAAATACTTTCAGAAGTGAATTTTAACGCTAAATGATCACAATAAATTTACATGGTCAGAACAGCAACCAGTATCATATAGATGAGATCCTTATCAGTATCTAAATAAGAAAAAAAACCCAGGACTTTTACCATGGCTTCCATTGGTAAATGCACCATAGATGTAACATTATTTGGAGATACGTAAGCGCATGTTTTATATTACTAATGAATGAGTTAACAAAGCCTTTTTTTAAATTACAAATTTCACGTGAAATTTGTAAGCTGAGGTATAATTAATACATTTGTCAGTATCAGAATAGTTTTGCAGAACAGAAACAGACAAAAGAAAAAAAAACCCTTGTCAACTACAAGTCAAAGGATACACGATGTCACATGGAAAAAAGTTTGGTGTTAAAAAAACCCCAAACTCCTGCCAATATTTTGACTCCCATAAAATCAGCAATTATTACAAAAATAAAAAGGTGTAATAAAGGCTAGTCCATATTTGCTCAAATTCATGCTCTACATTTTTAAAATTTTTTTTGTAAACATGTACAAATTAAATTAGCCTTGCTTTTATTTCTTGATAAGCAGATGTGTTACAGGAAAAAACAAAGAAAGAAATCAAGGCCTTGTTTTAATATTAATCTATTTTATTAATTTCACACCTATTAGAAATATATGGATTGGCGAGGGACAGAACAAATGCTTGAGGAACAGATCTACTGCTCTTCCCCTAAAAGCAGAAACAAGAACCATCTCTAAGAGTTGGGGACTTTTTTGACTGATGCAGTTTTTTTGTTTGATAACTTTGTACTAAACATGGCTGATTTCAAGTTTTTAATTGCATCTTAGTTTCAGTAGAATTCATGTTCCTCTGGTAAGTTTGTAATCAGTGGCCAGAAATACTAGTCTAGCATGCTTTTGGAAGCAAAACTCAAGTGCTGCTAGTGCAGAATTTAATCCATATAAAAATTCTGTTTGGGCTGGGCCACTGCAGGCCTTTCTCCAAAATGAGAATGGGACGATTCAGAATTGCCCCAAGAAAGGAAAGTCTTCTGTCAGGAAAAGGCAGCATGGTAAAAACATATCCATGGCATCTTTCTTTGCTTTAGATTTTCACAGCCTGAGCTACAGCTCATTTTACGTAGATGAAAGAGTTGTTTCATTAATTTTGAAGAAATCTAGATTTCACACATATATGGAAGTAGTAAGAGCAAGGACAAAAGAAGCTCGTGCACATTACAGTATTTCTGGGAGAATTTGCATGAACCTCAAATGAGGCCTTACCTTCCGAATAACCTGTTGTTGCTGCAAGTGTTTTGCTCTCAGTTCTGCTACTTCTCTCCAAAGATTTTCATTTTCCCTGTTTCAAAGGTGAACAACAAACTAGTGAACATCTCGCGTTGACCTTTTTAGAAGAACAGTAAAACTCCATCATCTAACCTTAACTAGGACCAATGATGTTTACCACTATCTTTTTAAATACATTAATTTTGAACTCTGCATAAAAATACAAAATATTCAAGAACATGGCAGATGTCAGGAACCTAGTATTTTCAATTTACTTAGAAGTAAGTAAGAGCACTGACAGCTAACCTATTTAGAGTGCAAAGATTTGGCAAGAGCATATGGGATAGCTAAAACTTCTAAACTGTAATGCTACAGTATCTCAACTCTAATGTACTCCTAGGACTCAAGAAAAAAAAAGTTAGATTAAGATGATTTTTTTTCATATTAGTGGATAACATTCAATACATTTATGAACAGTTGGGAAACGAAAATAAAGACCAACTACAGAATGAAGTAACCCGTGTTTAAATATTTAGCAGAGATATGCCATAGGAAGCTAGAAATAAAGTAAAAAACCGAAGACCACAAACTAGTTCCATTTCAAACTGGGCCAATTAACCCCACAAGCAGAATATGAAACTTCATAAACACTCTGTTCCAAATTTTTATTTTGAGCAAGAAGTTTGAAAATTCAGCTCACAGAACAATTTCAAACTCTTTAATAATTGTAAAGTTGAGCAGATGTCCAGGAGCAGCAATTAAGCAAGCAACTCATATAGTGGAAGAGACCGGTAAGCCGTGTAACCAGAATTTTTATATGAACTAGTCTCAGTGAAACTTGCCTTTCCAAACCAGCAAGAGAAAATATTTAAAAATTAAACCTATGTTTTTTGTTAAGACAAGTTTTATACACTACAGCTCTCTTTCTGCAAAGACAAAAAAACGGCAGGGACCTCTGGCACCAATGTATTTTACCCATGGTTTGAAATTGGTCGGTTTGCCCTGTTGGCTGTTAGAATAATCTGATATTAGTGTTGAGTTCCTTCACATAGTCATATTTACCGCTTTAAGGCAGAGAGTCTGGATTCAATAGTCTCTTGTTTGATTTGCACTTTTTGAGCACTGCTTATGATTTTGGAAAGATCCTCCTGGCGAATTTTGTTTTCTTCAGGTCTTGACGAAGAAACCTTTAGGGTGGGG